GATGATGATGATGATGATAATGGTGATAATGAGGGTAGTGGTATTTATATTTGTTTCTGTCCTATTATCAACAGACCGCTACAAGGATTTAACATCACACGAGAACCAGATGCGATTTCTCGACGTTCAGCTTGATCTCTTACGAGAATTCATCGATGATCAGCTGAATGAGAAAGCCAAAGAATATTCTAACAACCCTATCGATCCCATGTTTCTCTCTGTGCTCAATGCGGCTCATTTTATATCCTACGTACTTGAAGACTGGACTGAACAAGCGGTAAGATGCGATGATGGTGATGATGACGATGATGGTGATGATGACGATGATGGTGATGATGACGATGATGGTGATGATGACGATGATGGTGATGATGATGATGGTGATGATGACGATGATGGNGATGATGGTGATGATGACGATGATGGTGATGATGACGATGATGGTGATGATGACGATGATGGTGATGATGATGATGGTGATGATGACGATGATGGTGATGATGACGATGATGGTGATGATGGTAATGGTGATAACAACGATGATGATAGCGATGACGATTGTGATGGTAGTGGCGAACGAAGTAATGATAACAGTAGTGGTGATAAAGTTGACGATGAAATGAGCGGCGTTGACGGACCATTCGATGATAGTGGCGATGACGACGGTGATGGTGGTGGTGGTGGTGATGATGATGGTGCAGTGGTGATGGTGGTAAAGGTGATACAGTAATCAATGATTGTGTTTTGATAGTAGTCGTAACAATGTTGTAGATGATGGTGATAATATTCATAATCCTGACTCTAAGATTGCAGACATTTCTGTCCTGATAACAACTACTTTCCCTACAGATTTTCTTACAGTTACACGAACAAAAGTTATTAAGCAACTGTGAAGCGCCTGATGAACAGTCCACAGGAGTTTTTGATCATTCTCTCCGGAAACTGCACAACCTCAAAGAAAAAATGTTGCAAAAGATTGTAGAAAAAGTTATAAACGATTTTAAAGATAGGAGTACAGCATATAAGAGAGAGAGGTGAGGAACAGATATTTTATGCCCATTCCAACCTATTGACATTATATATTGTCAATTTGTAAGCAATAACACTGAAATAGGTTTCCGCGTAGGTGACTACTCACGTGAAACCATGCCTCTCACTGAAGTGGCTTCAATTAACGAGCCTCCTTACTAAACACTGAAATGGTTTCCCACGTGAAACCGTGTCTCCCCGAAGTGGCTTCCATTAACATGCCTTCGTACTAAACACTGAAATGGTTTCCCACGTGAAACCGTGTCTCACCGAAGTGGCTTACATTAACATGCCTTCGTACTAAACACTGAAATGGTTTCCCACGTGAAACCGTGTCTCACCGAAGTGGCTACCATTATAAACATGCCTCCTTATTAAACACTGAAATGGTTTTCCACGTGAAACCGTGTCTCACCGAAGTGGCTTTCATTAACATGCCTCCTTACAAAACACTGAAATGGTTTTCCACGTGAAACCGTGTCTCACCAAAGTGGCTTCCATTAACATGCCTCCTTATTAAACACTGAGATGGTTTCCCACGTGAAACCGTGCCTCACCGAAGTGGCTTCCATTAACATGCCTCCTCATTGAACACTGAAATGGTTTCCCACGTGAACCCGTGTCTCACCGAAGTGGCTACCATTAATATGCCTCCTTACTAAACACTGAAATGGTTTCCCATTTGAGTCTGTGAATTTTTGCCGACATCTAATGTTAAATTAGATTAGTTTCTTTAGTATCGAAAATCGGTTGCTATACTTGAGCTGTTTAGTAGACTCTTTTTGAAAATTTTAGCAGTGAAATGGTTTCTTTCTCCTCTGACACGATTTTTAATATTTTCCCCTATAGGTGGCATAGTCTTCCCTCTCCTAAAGAACTCGCCGTCATGGCTCTTTCTTCTGGAGCTTGTGATCTCCTTCTATTTTTAAAAGACAGACTCAAGAATTTTGAACGACAGCTCGCGCGGGCCTTGTTCTCAACATTATGGCAGCGTCTGGCACAAGAACTGAACAACGTCATTTACAAAGAGGTAAATAACATCGATACCCAATATCATACGCCTTCTCTGAGATAGTGAACATGGTGCATTGTGGTCTAGCTTGGGTACAAACATCTTTTGTTCGTCATGCATTATATGGTGTTGCTTGTACTGAATCTAGACCACAATGCATCTTGTTTATTGAGCTCAGAAAAGGCCTATGCTTCATGCGGCATGTCGTCTGTACGCTATTTTACCACGGGAATCAACCAATCAGAATGCGTATGTCTAACATGTATGGTAAAGTCAATCTCGTTCTCACAGCCGACAAAATAAAGCACGCGAAGTAAGAAAAAACGACCCTAGATTGTGAGCAAAGTAACCAAAGTCAAGCTTAAATAGGTGTTGCGCATGCGCAGAAAAGTTTTACCAGTGAAATTTCAACTCATCATCTTTGAACACCTCAAACCCTCTATCGTTTCTTTTTAAAACTGTATTTTGTCAAAATACATATTTTGAAAAAAGGAATTTCTTTAAAACATCGTTATTTTTTCAATAGGTTATTCTTGAGTGTCATTACAATGAAGGCGGAGCAGCGCAACTGCAGTTTGACATGACGAAGCATTTGTTCACTTTGTTTGGGGAATACACGTCGAAACCTGAAAACTACTTCAAGGAGTAAGCCCTGCAAACATGTAAAAAAACACTTGGATTCTTTATGAATTAGCTGATAATTATATATTTGGAATTTTAGTCACGCCTTTGCGTTACTAACTTTGGGTTAGAGAGTAAGAAAATAAGAGTAAAAGCAATAGAATTTTGATTTGTAGCCTACGCATGCGCAGTTATCGTTCAAGATGATTGCGCACGCGCAGAGATTAATTTCTTTATCTCCATGGCAACATCCAAGTTCCTTTACTTTCCAAAGATGTTGAAGTAACCTACTGTACCTTTCTTTTCTTAAGGGTCAAGGAATGTTGCATCCTCCTGAACCAACTACCAGGCTCAGCTATTCTTATCATGGAAACTCTCAATAATCGTCAGTCATACGTTGATGACCTCAACTCCTCTCCTAAAGCTACACTCAATGAACTAGGAGTTTACAGACTGTCACCTAAAGACGCTCTGCGCGTGCTCAATCTGAGAATCAACTGGCCAAAAACATGAGCAACCGACGTCGATACTCCTTCCACAGGGTGACCATGGGTTACCCCAGGATCTTTACGCTACGCCATAGGGTGACCAAACCATTTTGTACCTCACCACAGGGTGACCAAACAATTCGTGCTTCGTCAACATTACAGAATTTTCCTCTAATTGAAAAATACAATGACTAGCTCCTACTTAGTCATGTGAGCTGATCTGATAAGAAAAACCACGTGACTCAACTCGGTTACCTTGGAGACACTTGTCGAAAATTTCATATACATTTTATTAAAATTGTCATTGCCATCGTACATAATATATTGGTTTGTAACCAAAATGAAATCATTACTACAAATTGAAATTAAAGATTATTGATATATTGTTGGGTAATATTTTTACTCACCTCGTCGAAGATGTAATGGTGTTGTAGTTGTTCCGTCGGTGTTAAATATGATATCCTTATTACCACGCTGAATTCCGGTTGAAGATAAGACTTCATTTGGCACAACAATCAACTCGAATATTACACAAGTCTTTCTAATCGGGTGCCACGTTTTGGCGAGAACAAGATAGGTCAAGACAAGATGGCGGAAGGTTTTCAGCCCCATGATAACTCGCTCCCAGTCTTTCCTTGGATATTTTAAGGAAGAATACCGCAGGTCTAAAATTATCTTCACATTAGGCTCAAGGGTTCAGAGGCATGTAATCATTTAGGATAACGCAGTATGGCGTGGCACTTACAAGCGAGCAATCTCGTACCAAGAGTCCGTATTTCTTATTGCGCATGCTTGACGAAATAATCGAGCATGGGTACGAGATTGAAAAGCGAGCAAACACGCATGAGCATGCGCAGTAAAGAAAACTTGTCATCGACTTGTCAATTATTAAGTTATGTAAACATTGCGCCTTTAATCTTTCGAAGAAAAAACATCAAGAGAACTTTGTAGCGCAAACCTAGCGATCTGTTAATAATTGGCTCTCTCCTGCGCTTAGAGGGTTTTTCTCCGGTTTTCCTCCCTCCGCAAAAAAAAAAAAAAATCAACTTATAAATTCTAATTCGATCTAGAAAGAGCCTAGATGAAAATTACTCTGCGTAAGCCGGTTAGYATATTGTTCGCCAATGACAAATCATAGCATTTTACCACAGCATCGTCCAATTATTGTTTAACAGCATATGTTTTATTTTAAAGTACACATATCACGCATTGCTTTACATGAAATTTTCATTTCAAATCTACAAAAGAAAGATAAATAATATACATTATTTTTCGGCTTAATTCCATGCAAATGTATTGAGTAAAATCTTTTTGAACCTTCATATTATTTTTTCTGTACCACGAGCCCCTTGGATTTAGAAAGTACCCAACTGTTAAAACCTAGAAGAAAAAAATAAAAAGGATTGAGAAGGTGTGTAAAGACGAAACTAGTTCTCTAAAGATACGTGACATAAAGTGCGTACAAAAAAATCAAAAAGGTTTAAAACCTTACAACATAAATTAAATATTTACAGACAAAACTCTCTCTCAATGTAGCGTCTCTTTTTTTGAGGGGGGAGGGGGGGATGTGGCACACTTTGACGTACCTCGTTTCAATCTCGAGTTGCGCAATCCTGTTGTCGTGGTAACAGTGTATTTGAGCAACGCAATCTGCAGTAGCGGGTGCTGGGGGGTCGTTGTTGGTATTGAGGTTGGTATTTGTGATCGATGAAAAGTCTTGTTCTTCTTCTGTCCACGGTTGATCCATATTCACCTGGACCGTAGCGTCACGTGACTCAACTGAATTTGTAATATCAACAAAGAATATATGCTAGTTAATTTCAAAGTATATGCTTTTGTAGCTAGAGCGCATGCAATAAAACCATGAAATAAACAATGTTGAAACAGACAAATATAGTAGCTATTAGCTACTAACATAGTTAATGGAGCGGAATTGTTGGGAAACCTATTGCTCTAGGTTTTTGTTCGACTTTATCCATTTTGACTTTATGACGTTGACCGTGCCCAGAGAAGGAAAAGTTGCCTCATTCGTTTACAGCATTAGGGAATATAGAAATTTTTCTCCCTAAAAAAAACCTTCTAAAATTGTTATTATTTGTTCATTAAATAATCCTATATGATTAATATTAATTGTTTATTGAAAAGGAAATTGCTTTTTTAATGCTTTCTTATTTATCATCTAGTAACTTAACTGTATCTGCGCGGAAATATTTATCCGCATGGTTTGTGGTCATCGAATGAAAGTTTTCAGTTTCATAATGTTCATACATGAAAATAATAAGGAAATGAGTATTTTCAGCCATACTTGCTTTGGTTCATTGTGCACTGTCAGTATCACGTGATGGTAAGATTCAACATCATCAGGCATCAAAGGCAAGACAATAGCTTTGTTCTATGGAGTTTCCAAACCATTCCGCTCTATTAACTATGGTACTAACAGTTGCTATCACTCAACCAGAACATTCATTAATCAGACACAAATGGTCTCTTGTGCATTTGTCTTAAATGTTTGTATTGAATGTTCTGGTTGAGTGATAGCAACTGTTAACCTAATAACTGCTATTTGTCAGTATCAACTTTGTTTTATTTCATGGTTTTAGTGCATGCGCTCTAAAGTGACCGCTGATAGCAAGTACACCGGCTCTTACCTCTTTTTTGACAAACAAAGATTGACTTGTAAAAGAACACTACTGTTAGAAAGCCAGCCAAGGCAGCTACACCTGGAGCTATACTCTGTACCTGACGAACATATTTGTCACATTTTGAACATTCGTCTCTGTCAAGAGAATGAAAATAAAGAAAATTCGTAAGCAATCGGGTTATATCTAAATACATCAAAGAGAATCACAATACACGACACGGTAACGCAGTGACATTGGTTGAACCAAACACAGCATGCGATACCATTTGTTACCCAATCACAATACACGGCACGGTGACGGAGCGACATTGGTTGAACCAATCACAGCCTGCGATACCATTTGTTACCCAATCACAATACACGGCACGGTGACGGAGCGACATTGGTTGAACCAATCACAGCCTGTGATATCATTTCTTATCCATTTTCACCGTCAAGCGCGGTCACCATCACGCCATACCTTTTTGGCAATCACAAAATCGTTCATTTTCATTTACGTTAACGTTACGATAAAATGTTGAACTTACACTTGGTGTTCACGTGGGTTGAGCTCTTGGATAATTGCTATGACAATACCGCTGGACAGTTTATCACTGAAACTGATCGCACCATAGATAAAAGCCCCATATGTCTGTATACCAATAGATATGGAATATTTACTTTCTGTACTATGCTGGTGTAACAACTTTAACCTACCCCACCCCTTGTAAGGCAAAAATGAAAGGGGGGGGACATAAAATAGAATTCATAGAAACAGACTAGATTTCTAATATTTTCCCAAAATGAATCAATCTTTCTGATAGTTAATATTATTAAGACATTATTAAGATATTATTGAAGTATTGAGATATTATTACCTTATCGTCCCCTACAAGATTAGCAATCRTTGATAATGACGTCACCAACATCACAGAACCACCGCTGCCCATAAGCACCGTAGCTGCATAGACTCCATTGCGCATGTCAACAGTCTGCAGGTAGAACCATGCGCATGCGCCAAGAGACAAGGTTGCACCAAATATGTATGTAATCTATAATTGAACAAAAACATGTGCGGTTTAAGGCGCGAGTACACGGAGCAATATGTTCTCTACAACTTGCCTCGAAACAGGGTTGCGACACAAGTTTCAAGGGTGTTTACACGGTGCAACGGAGACGAAATCATTGCCAGAAGCAGAAACGATTTCTACTTTTGGCAACGATTGCTGCAACTTGTCTTGTAACATTTTTTCAGACTTTACTTTTCGTGCAAGTATGCAGTGGCTTGAATCATTATTTTTCAGTGAAAATTTATCAGTCATGCAGACTTTACCTTGGATCCGAGATTTCGATCTAAAGTCTTTACAACCAAACTTGATAAAACTCCACTGACGAGGACGACAAGAGGGAAGTAAGCAATGGCTTCCTGTCATGAATAAAAAACTCCATGATCAACAACAATTAAGAAGGATAAATAAAAAAATCGATAGAAACTAAACGAGGAGCTGTAATACGAGTAAGTGATTGCCGTAGGATCCATGTTTTTTTAAATGGGTGAATGGGAGTTTAGTGGAAGTGGAGTGAACCTCACAGAAGAGCGCCTTACGACATACCAGTAAAAACAAACTCCATTCACGCATTCATCTGCGTCTCAGTCGATAATCAAGTCCGCGATCTCGAGCATGAATTTTACAGCGGTGTGATACAGCGCCGTAGCAGTGCGTGCAACACGTGCCAACCTAATGTTAGCCATTCAAAGGTTGAGGAAAAAACTGAATCGAGTTGGCATTACAGTCCATTTTGGGGCTGTTTCAGAGGACGAAATAGACGCCATCTTGGAAATATTTCCCCTAAAACAACCCCACAATGCACTGCGGTACCAACTCGACCCAGTGTTTTTCCTCAACCTCGGAATGGCTAAAAGGTTTTTTAAAATATGTTTTTTAATTTGTATACCTTTTCAAAGTTCAGCGTCTGTGTGAGGTAAAGAGCAAGGTAAGACTGAGAGATATTCACCACTAGTCTGGTACACATGTAAACTACTGCTGTCTGGGGAAAGAACGAGAAAAACAAATCGATGGCGTCTCCTTTGGAGCATAGATCGAGGAAAACTTCGGCTTTGAAAGACTTGCGTTACGGTGCCGTACCGTGATGTGCGCGATGATGGACTAAAAACTCGTCAGTTGCGCACCGCCTCCCGCATTCTTCGTTCGACATTGTGCTTTGATGTTATTACCGGTCTTTTGTACTAACCTTGTAAAGAGCAGAATTTTTCAGCCAATCGGATCTAGATTTAGGGCGAGGTTTAGTTTTGGTCACGCAATCATCGCTCTTCTTGGAGCCAACTGTAACACTATGGTCTTCTAGGGTCGTCATGTCATGATGACAAACTATCGGTTTATCCATTCTTTGAAAAGACTGTGGATAACTATTCATGTTGGTCACGCAATTATCTTTTATACCTGTCACGCCATCGCTCGTTACACCGTTACAACAAATTTCGAGTTCTTGGTTGGCTTCCAGTGCGGCATTTTCAAACGATTTCGTTACCAAATCTTTCTTGGACGAATTCTGATCGGGATCAGGAAGTACACTCACTATAAGGAAAACAAACGGAAATAGAGGCTTTGCACCATAACATGATGGCAGGAACAATTGAATCTGGTCTAATGTGATTTACATGAGAAAGTTTCCCAGGGAGAAAAGGCTATATTGTTGTGCCTCCTGTCATCACGTGATGGCGCAAAGCCTCTATATTCGTTATTTCTCAAGTAAAATAAATTATTATCGAATCAAAGTATTGCCTCAAATAGCCACAGCGTGAAAATATAGGTTATTTCATTCCCCTTGATTTCGACAGAAGCTGGGATACTTGGGGTTGAAATGCCGCTAAGAGACTGGGCAAAGGAACAACTCGTTTATCATGCAGCAACTCGTCTAACATGCAGCAATTCGTCTAGCATGCAGCAACTCGTCTAGCATGTAGCAACTCGTCTAACATGCAGCAACACGTCTAACATGCAGCAACTCGTCTAACATGTAGCAACTCGTTTAACATGCAACAACTCGTCTAACACGCAGCAACTTGTCTAGCATGTAGCAACTCGTTTAACATGCAACAACTCGTCTAACATGCAGCAACTCGTTTAACATGCAACAACTCGTCTAACATGCAGCAACTCGTCTAGCATGCAGCAACTCGTCTAACATGTAGCAACTCGTTTAACATGCAACAACTCGTCTAACATGCAGCAACTCGTTTAGCATGCAGCAACTCGTCTAACATGCAGCAACTCTTTTCTTCCTTGCAGCAATTCGTCTAACAAGCAGTAACTCTTTTCTTCTTTGCAGTAATTCGTCTAACTTTCTGCATGTCCCTCATGGGTCACCTTAGATTTATACCCAGGGATTTATGAACAACAAAGTACTTACCCTGATCCGTCACTCCTGGTTCTATCTCGCTAAGTTTCAATTCTTGTCGTTTTAGGTAGCCAGCAGACAGCGGTTCTTTTATAACCACGTGGAAGATAATGTTGAAAAAGTTTCCCGTACCGATGATGATAAAAGATAAATACTGGAATACAACAAGACGAAAAATCTCAATTTTGATTGAATTCATTGGGCAATTCGACATTACGTAGTTCAAGGGAAGATTCAACGACCTCGCGGCGCAGGCAGAGGATTATGGGATGGGGGTACATGCAGAGGATTCATATGAAGGGGCTGAGTTAGGGGACACAAAGAGGATTGTGGGACGGGATGGGGCAACACGCATCGGAATATGGGCCCACATAGGATTATGGGGGCGAATGAGGGGCCGCCAGATGGCTTAGTTTTATCGTATCCTCAGAATCACATTAATTCCTTACCATAAACTCATGCCAAACTTTTGGGGTTATTTTGTGTTCAGAACTTTGGCCAAGCAAAATCCAGGTGACGCCGTACACGTAAATACCACAAAGAAAGGTCATGGCGGACCTGAAATAAAGAGAAGTGGGCTCAGGATACAGTCTGATCGGTGCAAAGGAAGAGGGATGTAAATACTAATCAAACAACCCGCTTATGTGCACCCAACTACGTTTATTTTATTGAAGCCTGAAACAACCTCTGGGCTGATCTAAGTCAGGGCATGGCTAACTCACAGATTGAACCCTGAATCAACCTCTGGGCTGATCTAAGTCAGGGCATGGCTAACTCACAGATTGAACCCTGAAACAACCTCTGGGCTAATCTAAGTCAGGGCACGGCTCGAATTGGTATTTAGCGGGTTAGGTTTTGCGGAAAGAGGAAACCGGAAAAACCGGCCGGGAGAAAACACTATAATCAATAGAGAAACCTAACAAACACAGCAGCACTCACATGTGATGATGGGTCCAGCAATCGAAAACTGATGGGGTTAGAAAAGAATGCACAGAATGCACAGCCCTGCGGCATACAAGACCCTTTCAATTCCAATTCGTTATCTAATTACTAGAGTTCTCCTTACCCCATCCCAAAGAAAACTGGGATCAAAATGTGGTTCGGCGAACGAAAAAAATAACCTCAAAACGAGAGACTAGGCCATCATCTAGAATATCTAGGCGTGCGGATCGGATGTAACGGCTAACGTCAAGCCAAGCGGACTCCTGTGGCTTGTGTAATGGCTTTCCCGGGACGTTTGAATTTTTTACATTCCAAAAGTAAATTTCCATGTGGCTTCGATTCATGTTCACTGTACACGTGAAGTACACGTGAAGTACACGTGAAGTACACGTGTAGAGCACATGCTGCCTGCATGCCACGACAGCGATTTACTCCACACTTCATGACCTCCTGCGCTCCTATTACTCCTGATTAGTATATCAATTACTATTCCAGTTGTTAGACCAAATGCAAGTGAGACTCCACTATTAACCCCATCATGTACTGCCCATCTGGTTCTATCAAGATATATTTGATTGATCTCAACACTCTACTGCGATAGAACATGTTTCCAGAAGATGTACTTGAGAACGTTTTAAAGACCCGCTGAGAGGGGAGCCTGCAGAGCTATGAAAATAAGAACTTTCTTGGGTCCGCGTAAGGAGAAAAAAGCAAATAAAAAGCAAATGTATGGTGGGAATTTATGGTAGTTTACGAAGATTGTAAGGAAACATTTTTTCCAAGAGAAGGTAGTTTATTAGAGAGTTTTAGATTGACTTTTTTTCCCCCCGCAAACGGCAAACGTGACCACGTTTTCATCGTTTTCGTGTATTTTACTTTACCTTTTACAAACCTTCTCACCAAGCGCAAATATTCTTTTGTTTTTCTACTACTTGGACGTTTTTGCGATTTTTTTTCAGTAATTTAAAAGAATTTTTTACTGGTCAACTGACGTTTCACGTTTGCCGTTAACTTAAATCTAAAACTCTCTATTATCATATTTTTTTCATCAGCAAGGTAATGACTTGTATGAGCTCTTCTTATTGAACGCATATGGAGAAGTTTTATTTCTTCAGCATGAAAACCTTTTGACCGCTCGCTTATAACTGCATGAAGTATCTATTCAGTTCGCCCCAAGACCATACAAAATCAAATGTCAAAACATTTTTCAATAAATTTCAAATTTGAATTTTCGGGTAACCGGATGTTCAATTGTGCTGTAACAATACTATTTAACTACAATATATTATTATACTATATACTAGACTGACAGAAATATCATTGAAAAATAAATCCCGGTGGCTTTTTTTCATTTTGTGGGTAGGGATTTTTAGCTAAAGAGGAAACCAAAACAAAAATTATTAGCCGAAAACAAGTATATTTTTTAACTTTTAAAAAGCTACGCACTCCTGAYGAGCTATTCAAGAATATATACATAAAATGACCAGGGCGAATAACCAGAATTCTCCTTGACTCTTAAAAAATCAAACTTAGTAAATGAAGACGCAAGTATTTGCAAAAACACTTAACAAGAATGATAACCTTTTTTGAAGGCGGAGCTCTGGATTTCGTGGCCGTCATGTTGATTCAGTTTAACAAAACCTTTGTCATCGGAATCTATCAACATGGCGACCATTCGTTGTTTTATTTCATTCATATCTTTCTTTAATCTGTGAATTGTTAAGAACCAGGTATACTGTCTAACTACCCTGCGAGCAGAGTCTGCTTTTAACTCCTGAGACTCTGCTCGCAGGGTAACTGTCTAACATACCTGATGGCGTTCAGTTCCACTCGCTCGTCCTTTCTGCGTGAGATCTCTGGAATCAAAGACAAATGGCTAATCTGCACACACCCCCAACCGAACTGGAAAACAGCAGCAATCCCAACATAGTATACCATTTTCAGAATATCACTTGTCGTCTGATCAAGTAAACGGATCAGAAGCAAGGGAAACGATGCAGTAACCAGTACTGTCCCTATCATATGCCATATTTTTCTTCGTCCGTATCGACATACAGTTCTGTCGCAGATGATACCAATGAAGGGAGTGAAAATCCCGTCCGCAATTTGCCCGAGAAGGATTACTAGCCCCGTGTGTCGGTTCGAAAGTTTAACAACCTTGGTGAGGTAAATGATCAAGTAGCTGAACCACACGCTCGATACCAAGTCGTTCAAAACGTGTCCAACCCCATGTACTGCGCGCTGACTTCGAGGAAGCCTTTCCAATTTGTTTTTCTTCTGATTCTCATTCTTCTTCTGCACTTTCCCCCAGCAAAGAAAATTCATATTCTTTACAAATGAGTCTCTTCAAATGACGTTACAATTTGCCTTCGAACCAGCTTGTGTTTCAGTTTTTGGTCTGTATTTTTGTGTGACACAATAGTGAATAAAAGTGTCAGCAAGTCCTAGTATAGAGCTCACGCGTTAATAGGTTATCATTATATCCGGTAAAACAGCATTGGATTTCCATTCTTCACTATCTGCAGTCCATGATCATGCGTCCTCATGTGAACACAACAAATCGTAGCCAGACAAAGACTCGGGTCTCAATCCATTAAAAAGGACAATAGATACTAAATACACTAATATCTAGTTTCTATTGACCGAACAAGAATTATGTTTTTAGATTTACTTCTGTGTTTACAAACGAGCTTGGCATGCACACAATCAAAACAATCCGAAGTCAACGAGAAGGTCGCGTGTTTCGTTGTTCTCTTTAACCTTCTTTCATTCTTGTTCTTTCCGTTTCCATTCATCCATCAAATTCTAAAAATATGGATTCATCAACCCTTAGGATTTTGGCTTCTTTTTGGTTTACAATATGAAACAAAAAGCCCTTAAATTTGAACTTGAATGTGTTGGAATTTGAAAATATAATGACATCATAGACAAATACTTTCACTATGGTAACGCCTCGGTGCGCGCGCGCTTACACCATCTTATCATTTTAGTTGGAAGTTGACCCCTTCGACTTTGACTTTGGAGATGGGGTAAATTTTTGTTCTAGGGGGTTGACCTAGGGGTTACTTTGGGGAGGGACATACACACAAAATTCCTTCCCCATAAAAATGCATTCTGGTAGCACTTAAAACAAAATGCTTCAGTCGTACGTGCTCAGCTGAATAACATTTGTAACCTTTACATAACCTGTGTTTAAGATAAAATATACAACAGGAATCCCATAAAATCGAGGAATAATAGAAATGTGGGTTTCCTGTGGTGATTTTTGTGGAGGGAACACTAGTAACTAAACCACAAACTTCCATGACGTCATATTATAATCAAAATAGCTTCTTCAGAACTTCGTTTTGTAGCAAGAATCCTTTAAAAAAATGTCTGTAAACAAAGTACAATGCGCCGATGGCCGTCTAACGCTGCATGGAGATTAGTAAGACATGGTTCTTTTGAAGTGTTGGAGCAGATTTTTGAATGAGTGGAATTATAATGGAGTTTTATGTTCGTTTTCAGTGTGGTGTACCATCAAGATGGCGTCCAGTTTGAACTACAAGGAGATGGAATCCCCGGATTTCTCAAAGGATCGCGAAAAGGAAACATATTTATCTCAACTAACAGAGTAAGACATATATTAACCACCTTCTGCTAACGAAACTACATCTTCATTCCTTGATCCTTACGCAAAAAAATCCTACGAAGAATGCTTAAAGAATGTCGTAAAATACGTAGTGGAAAAGTGAATCCACTACGCAACAAAATAAAACGAAATGAGAGATTTTCCCACATTTTTCCCCTCAAAATATATTTATTCTTTTCTCAGGTGATATTTGCTCCGTCAGTAAACCACGGTGTTGGTTCATTTTCGATGAATTTTCAGAGCATACGAGGAGTACAGGTAACAAGACAATCTCCCTTCATCTTGACATTTAATTATGACATAGTAGATACCGATTGCGCAGTCTGGAAACATTAAAAATGTATTAAACACATAAGCGAAAATATTCCTTCTTCCTAAATTGAAGAGCTAATTTTCGGATTGAGTTATATCAATTAAAACTTACGAAGAATTAAACTACAGTATAATAAGAATTTTTGTGTTGCAATTTAAACAAAAGTTTCATGAATCAGCAATTTCGTATAATTACCAAATCTTAATGATTTGTAATTAATTTTCAATAATTACTAACTTCTAATGTTTATTATTAAAAGTAATGGTATATAGAAATAAGGATTATTAACCTCTTAACCTTGGTGTCCATCAAGCATAATACATTATATCACAACAGGTGATATACATTATCACAACCTACCTATTATTACGACTTTTTCCAATTTCATGGGATACATGGAGCAGATAGCCCAGTTACAGCCTTCATCATTTTATTGATTAGCAAGATTAGCTTCTTCTTTCTGGATTTCCTGAATTCATACTACACAGAAAATGAGAGCTTTAGTGAAAGGTTTATCAAAATTTATTTAACAAATAAAACAGCTTTTTCCATGCTCTGTTCAGTAATGAAGCATGCAAGAAGTGACGTAATCACAAAAGAAGTGTAAGGAGAAGCACAAGCCATAGGCGAGTGCCTCTCGCACTTCTTTAGTGATTACGGCGCTTCCTAAGTGCTTTATTACTGAACGGAGCACGTAAAAAGCTGTTTTATTTGTTTTATTATATAGTTATTAATTTTATTTTGATATTGAATTTATTTACGCAAAAAGAAAGACGGTTGCAGGATCTAGCAGCATTTTGCGCATGCAGATGGCGTAAGCACTGTGCTAAGTTCACTAATAAAGCACAGTTCTTGACCAATCAGCGAGTGTACTATCCTAACTATAATAAATTATAATGTTATGAAATACATGTATAATTGAAATATACAGTAACACACTCACTGATTGGCTGGTCACCATATGTTTATATCAGAGGACAGAGACAATGCTCATGCAAAAAAAGTGTCTGAAAATATTATATAAAAGCAATATCAAATGGCTGCTTATGACTCTATATTTTGATATAAACACTCTGGGAGCTGTAGAGCACTTGGAAAGCAAGGGAAACACTCTGCTATGCCTTTAGTTTCTAAGCTTGCTTCTCTCATGCTCCTTAGCTCCCATTTTATTTTCCTTAATTAAAGGAAATGATCTATCAGGGTGTTCTGTGTGCTCAATATTTATGTGGAAATTATTATTGATGTTAGGTTAAACAGCCAATGTTTGGAGCTAATTATWTAAAAGGAGATGTTATTTCAGAACCTGAAGGTAACAGATTTGAGGAATTTTTCTTTAATATTTTTTCTCGTTCAATATTTCAAAGTTCTTTTATTGTTAAAGTTGTGCATTCTCTACTTTGGCATTGGTATTGGTGAATATTTGTACACTGAAAGAGACTAACCCTGTAAGAATGTGTCTGCAATCAAGGAACATAGAAGTATTTGACTATTTTGAAAATAATCTAGAAGCTTTATCTACATGCAGGGCTTAAAATAAAGTCCGGACATTGAACAATGTCCTCCCAAAATTTGAACTTGTCTGGTCAAATCATTGCCTTCCCCACAGTCTTTTTGACCAGTAAAGGCCGGCTTAGACAGTACGATTTTCACCTACAACTATTGTATACAACATGCTCGTGCCATCCTACAAATCAAGTTGTAGAGCTGTCGTAGCGTGTAAATCAAGCCTACAACTCGCCTACGACAGACACAGGCGTGTTGTATACGATAGTTGTAGGCCAAAGTCGTACCGTCTAAATCAGCCTTAACATTGAGCCAGAAATGTGGTATGACTGAGCTAAAACCAATTTGCCAGTCATCATGACCAGCAACTTACTCATCATTATTTTAAGCCCCAAAATGAGCTTTAATAATTGTTCATCAGGTGGCTGGGCAGGAAGAGCAACATTCAATATTACCTTTAACAGTGGAGGAGCAATAGAGTTTGCTGAGCACTTCCGTCAAGCAGTCTCCAAAGGTATGTCCTTGTGAACTTTTTATTTCTGTCTTGATAATCCATTTTATTTTAAAATGCTAATAAAGAAAGTAGAGTTATCTGGCCTAATCTATGAAACCAAGAGAAAATGAACAAAGAGAAGGAATCTCTGGTTTGTTACTATCATTGTCACCGTTTGATGCTATTTTTAGAATCACATTTACCATCAATTTTTTTGAAAACACAAGGAAACATTAGCAAACAGGGTAAAGYGTGTGCAGTAAGCATTACAGAAAAGCAAAGAATAATGTGATAATTATCAAAATAATGAATGACTAAAAATAGCATCAAGGAGTGCTCATGATGGGGTGCAAGGATTCCTTCTCTTAGTTCATTTCCTCTTGATTTGACACTATGCGTAGGCCTCAAATAATTGTGAATTCATAATAGTTTTGATTCATCAGCTTTTTAATTATAAATTAAGCCAAGCTTTTGAGCATCTTGCTCTTCATCAGGGCAAATGGTTGTGACAATTTTCACAAGAAACACGCAACATAACAATGTGCGCGTGCTAATTTATGAATTATTATAAATGTTGCAGCAAACAGACCAGGATCACAACCTATGGCCCCTGCAGGACAAAATGATCAAGTATTCCAAGTATTTAACAACTATCCACCACCAGCACCACAAGCTGGATACTACAATGGACCTCCCTATCCAGGTTACTATGGCAACCCACAACCTGGACCTCCACAGCCTGGACCTCCTTATTACGGACCTCCACCACCTGGTGGTTACTATGGTAAAGTCATAAGTACAAAAGATAAATGCCTTACTGGACAATGGCTATATGTTGCAATCAACAGTTATATGTTGCAAACTGCAGTCTTCATCAGACAACTGATGGTTTGACATTGTAATGTGACAAACGACAAGGAACAATGTTAAATTGTCAGTTGCTCGTTGCAGCCTGTGTGCCATTTTCATAATGGCTGACGAGCGCACGAAAACGAGGCCACTCAGTCATCTTGCAAGGCTAAGCAAGGCTGCTCATTTAAAATAAAAGTGGATAGCTTGAATTCACGTCAAAAAAAGGTCAATTTCTGTACTTTTCTTCATTAAACCAGTTTATATACTTTTACATCTCCTAACGTGAACTAATGACTGGGTGACCTCATTTTTGTGGGCTTGTCAGCCATTATGAGAACAGTGTATGGGTGTTAGTTACAGGGTTCGTGCTACTCCTTAAACTCCTTAAAAACTCCTTGAATTTAATTCACGTTTTCAAGGGCACTTGAAAAGCTCTTGAATTTTATAATTTTAGTGAAACTCCTTGAAAATTCTGAATTTTTGCTTTGATCATTACTTGCATGGTTCTGAAATAGATCTAGTCAGAAAGATTGAAAAATCTGAAAGTCAGACATGTGCAACCACCATCCTTGCAAAATTCATTTTTGGGTCCTTGTATACTCCTTGAATAGTCCTTGAATTATAAGTGGTTACCTCAGCATGAACCCTGTAGTTACAACAAGTAGCAGTTGATCTTTTCTATTTCCAGTAAGCGATTTTATTTTTGTACTGGTTGTAATCTACTGGATGACTGAGAACTTTCATCATAATTTGGTAATGTCATTAATTGACTCTGTCAAAAGTATTGCTCACCAAGTTTTGGCTTGGAGTATATTTAGATTAACTAAAAATATTTAAAGTGCTACTATGACGAAAATCGCTCAAACTTGGATTCAGCTGAAACTTCCTAAGAATACTCTTTAAAGGTCCAATAATCACTGTATGAAGTGTTTTCTCGATATTCAGG